TGGTTTAAGTGCTTTATCTTTCATTATTCAATTCTCATCCTAGGCACAAGTAGATACCGAGTTGCTCTTACAATGATTAAAGAAAGGCCAGTTTCTTTGCCTGTATTACCACATTACTTAGCATACTATAGTATTAGTACAAGATTATCATTAAAAATCCTCCTCTCCAGCCTTGAGGGTCTTACTTAATTCACAGAAACACCAGAGAATCTTGTCCTTCTCTCTGCTATTACTATGAAGTGTTTTTTAAAAAATTCTTTTGTTTTGCAAATTCACAGTTGTAGGGAATGCATTAATGTCGCGTCTAAGAATAATGAAAGGCTGAATCAATCTTTATTTATTAACGGATTTTAAAAGTTTGACTCATGAAAAGCAATTCGGAAGTGTTAGCAGTTGCTTGTGGATTGACTGTAGCCCAGGTCAATAACTGACAAATCATCAAGACAGAAGATTACCGAACTGATGACTACAAGGTGAAATTACATTTCTACATAAAAAACCACAACAACAAAAAGCAAAAGTATTTCTCAGAAGAGAAAAAAAAGCAATGAAAAAACAAAAAAAAACTCACAAAAAATCTCCCAGACTCCTTAACCCTCACCTGCCAAAACCTTCCTCCAAGTATTGGAGCTCTAGACATACACATTCTTGTAGCTTTGGCAAAGCTCATTTGCTGATCTTAACTGGCAGGATTTATTTCAGAAGAATTAACTTTCTGTCCCTGTGTATGTGTGTGCACATTTTAACAGGATGTCAGTTTTCATCTGTCCCCTACCTCGTAACAGCTGTGGTCAAATACTGTGTTCTTTACATTCCTCCTGAAAACATCACCTTCCTTTCTCAGGTTTGAGCGTGTGAAGTTGTCATGGATTTTCTACATAAATGTCTGCTGTGCTGGAATGTTGTAAGGCATCAGTTACCATGAGTTCAGTAAATACACAGCTGTGCTACGTTGGAGGAAGGGGAAAAATTTAGAAACAGTTTTCTAGGCCAATGGCACGCAATGGAGTAATTTTCTAAACGCTTAGAAGTAGTGTTCTCAATTGTAAAGGTTGGTTTTAGGTGGGTATCTTCTCTTTCAATGATAGTCTTAAAGATGGAGGAGGAATTAAGATTCTGGGCTTGTGTGTTGAAGATGTTCATAGGTCAGTTGTATGTAATTTCTGCCCATTGACTTAGACATTTTAGGGAAGGCAAATATCCATTAAAGATTCCTGCTAGTTACCTATTTCAGTTAGGGGTTTTTGGAAGTTTAACTGGTTAAATGCTACATGATATCCTTGACTGAACGCTAGAAATCCCTTTAAGAAAACATAGTGTTAGATACCAAGATGATGCACACCTTAACTGCAAACTTGAGTACAGTAAAAGCTCAAGAAACAGGTTAGCTGCTCCTTGTAGATATGTCTCGCTGACATTTTAGGTGTATATCTTTCTTAAAATGTTTTAGGACTACCTTAATTGTTGCTATATTTATAGAAATAATGGTATCCTGCGTTACTCACAGTAATTTGTTTATGTGCATGCTGTCTTTGGGAAAAAGTCTCCTGTAATTTGAGTAGCTATTCACTGTATGTATAAAGAGAGCAGGGGGAAGCCAAGGAGGTGCTGCACTGAAGCCTGAGCAAGCCTGTGGTCTTCACCAGCTCTGGAAGACACTGTGCAAACTCATGTTGTCTCTTAATACGTTGTCTTTCTGTTCAGTCGTAGTCTGTTCAGCCACTGACAGATGCAGTATGGAGGAGCCAGGTCTCCTCCATTGGTTCTAAGCTGATCTATGTCTTACCGAAGTGAAATTTAGCTTCAAAGTGACACAACTGACACACAGAGCACAAGAGCACACTGCAAGGAGTTTTCTTCTCAGCCAGCTCTTGCCTACAGAGGTGGCAAGCCCAGTGGCAGGTACCGAATGTGATACCTGCCTGCAGCAGTTCTGTGCACTCCAGGTGCAGGTTCTGGCTCAGTGACGTTGAGTTTGCATTCATGACCACTGCTTTTACACCGGCATTTTCCCCGAGTGTCAGCTGCTAGAGGAGTAGTCAACAGAGATGTGCAGGTGTGGAATATGGTAAAAAGTAATAATCTGCCACCCCAAATGAAAAGATTTGCAGGTCTAAGCTGAGACAGTGTTTTGTTTGTGCAAATGTGTTTAAAGCTCGTTTTTAAGTTACAGAGCCAAGTTTTGGATCCATCTTGATCATTTTACATCTGAGTATTCTTTTTCTTCATAAAAAATAACAAAGAAGTGGTCTTGTGCTCCTCATTGGGACGTGGACACATGAAGCCTGTTGCTGCCTAATATTCTTACCCTTTTTTTTGAAATTTGGCCAGGCTTTTTTTTTTTACTGTTGTAGTGGTTCTGTGTGATTTTTCTCTCCTACCATACAGGTTGGGCTTTGTTTAAGTTCTGTATCTTTTATTTGTGGAGATGTTCCCAAAAAGTAATTGTGAATGTTTTAATTTTTTTATGTTATATGTTTAGTCTTTGTTGATCACTTCTAAGCTTACAGATGCATATATAATATTGTAAAATAGGATCAATTGTAATATCTTAAAGGGAATTGCTTTGAAAAATCGAATACCCTTGTAATGTGCTGTGGCATGATACCCCTGAAAATGGACTTACAACTCTACTTTTGTAGTAGTGCTTTGTGGTAGCCTGTATCATCTGTAAAAATAGTAACCTAGATATTTTTTTAATGAATTCTTTGTATGATGATGTAGAACTCCATAGGATAAATGCTTTCCTTATAGGCCTGACCAAACAGCTGAACCCACATATTTGGATCGTTGCAGCAGTAAGGAAACGCATTGAAAGCAGCAGCTTATGGGTTCCTCCACGTAGATCGGTTGAACAGCCTCGCCCTAACTTTCTGTAATACTCAAATAACTGTCCTGAATGCAGCTTCAAATGGGTTTTCAGAAGTTAGAGACCTAGTGACCTGTGGAAATTTTTCATGTTATGTTGTTTCTTGTGGAATAAGAAATACTAAATGGCATTTATGATGTCACACTCCTAAGGTGTAATTCTGGACTTTCTCCTCTATGACTCTCCAGCTCCGATAAGAAATATTACCACCTGCGTGTTGTGGTTTGTTAAAAAATGAAAATTTATGTTCAAAATTGTTTGTCAGTCCCTCAGAAAATTAGGAGTAATTAAATAGAAAGTTCTACAGATTTGTGCCATTTCTGTACCCTCTCATCTCAAGCTGGTGTGCGAAGCAGACAATTGTAATAACTTGCTGCTACTCCTTTCCAGCTTAATTTGATCTCGTTCCTTAATTCTGACAGATTGTTTTTAATTTTCCCATCTGTTCCATAAAAATCTCAAGTGATTGACTCTTAGGAAAAAAAATAACGTCTAATAGCTGAGCCATTTTTAATTAGTTGCTATGAGTTATTGAATGAGACATGCTGAGGAAGGCAAGCCAAGTGAAAGATTGTGTCTGGGGTGGTGGATGTAAAGAAAGGTAAAGGGCAACCGTATGCTTCAGGAAGTCTCCTCTCTTTAACCTCAGCTTTAGACTGCTGCCATCTCCAATTTCAGGCAGTGCACATCCTTAGACCCATGAACAAAAAACAAAGGTTCAGTAGCAGTAATTCCTTTCTTTTTTTTTTATTTAATGCCCTCCCACAGTATGCCTTTGGGGAGAGGATCCGTCACGCGAAGGAAAAGAGAACAAAAAAAGATCAAAGAATAGTACTTAAGTAAACTTACTTAAGTAAACTTAAAATACATTGTAGTCTGTGGTTTAACTTCACTTCTTGAAGCAACCTACACCGTTCTTGTTAGGTCAGAAAGAAGCCCTGTGCCAGTTAACAGAGCCTCTCTGAAGGCTAAAAACCTTGGCTTTAAAATTGCTGCAAATGATATCTCCTGGGGCAGGAAGCCATCAATATGCAGTACGGGTCTTTGAGAATAGCAGCCATGAATGTAAATGTTAACATCTGGACTTCTCCCTTCTGTTTTGGTTTTTATATGTTATTATAATAAACATTAACATTATTTTTAATAATCATCAAATAGCAGTTTCTCTTGCAGCTTGAGACTTCATTATTAAATCAAATCGGGAGAATAAACATACAGCTATTTTACAAGGAAAGTTGAAAATTTGACTCAACTCTGCAAATATGCCATTGGTAGTCTAATCTATTGTAGAATTCATAGAATAATGAATTAACTTTCCAATTGCACAGAGCGAGGCATAACAAATGAGAGAACGCTACCATGGTAATAAGCAAAATATACACTTGTTTTTGCTGGATTTAATGGGCTACCAACTAAAGAGAGAAACTTATTTTATTTTTTTTAACTAGTAAAATCCAAGAGTAATTTAAGTGAGCGCTTTCAGAGCATTTCCAAATACTCAGCCTGTTGAGTCTCCCTGTGACACATATTTCAAACAAACAAAGAGGGTGGAAGAAAGATTAAAATGTGACTTTTAAGCCATTGAATGTGGTCACCATGAAAACTGCTTCTGGTTTAAAATTTGTACAAAATTGGGCTTGGATGTGTCTGTTTTAAGGCCCAAGTAGCCAGAGATAGGAGATGCTTTGTGCTTGTACGGAAGTCTCTGGCTCTGAGTGAGATTAGACTGTGCCTAAGAGTTAGACTATCCAAATCTGGGACTGCTACAGGGGAGGAAAATGTTTTTATTTTAAGAACTTTTTCATCTTGTTATTACTATCTGGCAGTGTTCCTAGAGTTGGACTTCTTTTTTTTATGTTGGGAAGAAGGCGTTTGATTGACAGCTTCCTTTGCACGGCAGGATACATAAGTGACTCAATTTGGAGTAAATTCTCATGGACTTTGGGAATATGACCCATTATCTATCCCTCTTGATAGATTTTTGGGTAAGGATCTTGTTGCACTGTGGCTTTAGTAATAAATCTTCCATGTATTTATGTAGTTAAAATTAAATTCACAAGATGTAAGTTTAATAGTTCTGCATTAATCCTTCATAAAGCATTGATCTTTTGTTTTTTATTTTCTTCCTCAGTGTGTCAATCCTGATCTTTAATACTTCGCGGCAGTGCTTTGTTGTGGTGAAGCAGTTCCGCCCAGGTAATCCTCTTTTTTTTAGATTTACATTTGCTCTTTAGCGAAGCAAGCTTTTAAGGGTTTAGCAGTTAAAAGTTGGTGCATCTGTGGTGATAAAATCTTTGTTCTATATTCTGTTTCTTTGTATGATAGCCCAGCCTTTTCAGCTGGTCAGAATTTCTTACCAGGGAAATTTTCATTACAGAGGAAACGAATGATCAGAGTAGCTTTACATTTTGCGTTTGAGCTTGTCATTGTCCACTTTTTGGGTGAAATTACAAACTGCTCTAAATGACCATGCAATAGATGGCTTTTATTTGAAGTTCCTTCTTAACCTGTCTGATATTTAGTAGGCAGCTTCTGTGCAGAAGCACAGTATTTTCGGGGGTTTTTTAATCTTAAATATTCCTTTTTTTTTAATGTGTTATTTTGCATTGTATACTTGGGAACTTAAAACGGGGGAATTTCAAGACTGTATGCTTTTTAATCTATATGTGGCCAGCTCCATGTTACCAGTTATTATTATGAATTTAGGTTAATAAGCTATTTTTTCCCCAGAATTTGTGTATCAGCCATTTTAATTCAAAGCATATTTATTTTCTGGAAGTTAAAAATTAAATGCATATTCTCTGCATGTTAATTAAAAAAAAGTGACAGATATTTCACTGACTGTTGCTAAGAGACCATTTCAAGACTGTTCATGGTAGACTTCATGGGAAACTTTCTAGAGTGGTTTTGTGCTGTCCTTCCTTACTGACAGTGATTGACAGACTCTTGTTGTACAGCACTGTTATACTGGCAGCACATGCTTCTCATGAAACCCTATATTGACTATTAAAAAGTGTTTGTTTATTTATTTATCAATGATCCAATGTCTTCTATTTGCCAGCTGAATAAAACGGCTCATATAGCTGTTGCTCTCTTTGAGGCAGTCTCAGGCAGAAGCTTTCATATATGTGCGCATATATATATACATTTATATGTTCTGAAAGTGACACGTTCATTACATCATCCATATGGAAATGTCAAATCTACCTTAAAAGACTGGACTGTTCTTGGAGTTACGCTGTTTCAGAGGCTGGAGCCGCTCAGAAACCTGGCCCTAGGGACAGGGGTCAGTCAGACACCCCATCGCCATCCAGTGATCGCAACCATGCCCTGGTGTTACTCACATCACCGTAACTGTACCTCCGTTCCATGATTGGTATCTGCCTTGGTGCCTGTTCCATAAAGCAAAAAGAAAGGCTAAGATTTTTCTCCTTGCTGGCTTCTTGTTGGGGTCCCATGGCGAAGGCGATAGCTTGTCACTTGTGAGCGAACAGCTGCCGCTTCCACACCAGGCTCGGCCCCTGCACGTGTGCAGGCGGACACATGCGCTTGCCTTTCCTCAGGCTGGGGTGTCCTCTTCGGGTTTTCCCATTGAAGCCTGTGCCGCTTGTAAGGCAGCCATCCCTCCCTGTACGTACATTCCCACCCCATCCCTTTTTGCAGCACCAGCCTTTATGCAGCCCCAGCGGAGGAGGCTGCAAACAGAAAATTCTGAGAATTAAGCAGCTTATTTCACTGGCCTGAAAGAGTTCATGCTGGCTTGAGGGGTGGTAAGAGCACACAACTAGGGTGAGGAGACAGGACCATATATTTCAGTGTCATGTGGACTCTAGATCATCTTGAATGGTGATTGGAAGAAGCAGAGAGGAAAAAGTTATATGTATATCTTGGCATTATATCAGTAGTCTCCATATTAATTCCTTACCTATGACTGACTGGCAGTGCTCATTGTGATAGGCAATAGACCACACATTTTCAATTTTGAAAAAAATAATATATTCTTGGGAAAGGTTAGGGTTAGTATGAACATGTGCCCTGTTTTTTTTTCACTTACGACCTTTCAGTGGATTGTGATGTTTGGTTTTGCAATGGCTGAAAAGAAACAGTATCAAAGATTTGAATTATAAGCCATGTTCTGTTTCAGGTTTCAAAACACCAGTGCAGTCAAAGAGAAATCAGAAGTTTAAAGAAAAGCTAGCACGTTCCCCAGTCAGCTAAATCCCACTGATCCCTCAGTCCATACTGTTGTTTGCTTCTCTTTAGGGGTAGCAGACATGTCCCTCTGTGAGTCCTCTAACAAAGCTGCTTTGAATAACAGTTACGATCTTACTTGATGAGTTTGATGGAGCCACCTATCCTTCGCCCCAGCTTTGCAGAAAGAAAGGCAACTGCATCAGTTCTACTGGAGTTTCCACTCTGTGAGTTCGTGCAGCTGAGTGGCTCCAGGGTAATTAGTCAAGATGTTTGATGAGCGCTAGATGATTGTTTGAGTCCTCACTGTGGTGTTGCTCATCACATGTGTCCATCTGATGATGGAGGAGACTGCTTGGTGATGATGAAGTGGCAGTTTCTGACCAAAGTGGCATAAGCCATCGAAGACAAGGGAGCGGACACAGGAGTAGTGGGTGGGTAGCTGTACTGGGAGCTGAGCTCTCGCTTCTAGTCTTTGTTGTCCACACTTTTTGTGCATTTGCAATAAGCTGACAGCCTTGTGATGAGGAAGAGGAGAGTCACAGGTTTCCCTCTGAGGAACATGCCCATGGGCAACAGGCCACAGAGTGCATTTCCAGCTGGTACTTCTATCTCCTCTGGTCCCTCACCTGTGCAGTCAGTTTCCACCTTCAGGAGAGGTCTGAGGGACTCCTCTGTTCCCCAGTACTAGCAGGCAGCTTGTTTTCTAGGATTTGCTTATCTATGAGAAATAAATTGAATTGGAACCTTTTTGAGGCTGGTGATAGTGAATTCATACTCCAGCTCCTTGGTGACTGCTCTAATACTTGGTACCACTTCTTTTCTTCCTTATCTGCAGAGAAAAGCTGTTACTGGGCTTTAAGTATTGGCACCCTGGAGGACCTTGCTCTTAAGAGGACTGCTGGGTTAGGGCCTTGTGGGAATGTAGATTTTGATCTACGTGAAGCCCAGTTGTGCTGAAGGAGAAGGAGAACGGCAGATGCCTGCCAGAATGACAGGATGGTTTTTAGGCGTTCAGCAGACTTGTAACAGACTTGTAACATATTTTTGTACCTCACACTTTTACCTGTACCCCGTTTTAATGCCCAAGACCTTAGTGGAATGCATATGTTGTTCCTTTCTGTATTTCCTGATATGGATATGTCAATACTAAAAAAGCAATAAAACCCTTAAGAGTATTTGGCTCATCTTGGAGAGCTCTTGGAAGTAGTTCTCATTTATGATAATTGTCATAGCTTTTAGAAGTTTTTGGAATAATGACAATAGACACCCTTCAAAGATCTGTCCCTCAGAGTCTGCATGGAATATTTTTTTACTGCCTTCATGCTGCATTTTAAAAAGAAAACTGAGCTTTAGTTATCTCTTTCAATTTAGAAATGGAGGCTTCTCCTTAACCGTTTGAATCTCAAAGGTATAGATGTACCTACTACAAACAGCTTTCAAAGTTCTAAGGTTCAAGGTATCTGACTTTCAAGTGCTGATCTTGCTATCCTGCGCTTCCAAACTGTGGCAAGAAGCATTGCAGAGGGAGCCCAGGCACACATTTCTGGGACATGGGCTCTTCCTCAGAGATCAAGTGCCTGAGAAGTCACGGCGGTACTTTTATGTGACAACATTTCTATACAGACCTTGTTGTATATCACAGTTTAAAGAAATTATAAGCTAAATCCAGTAACTGGAAGAGCAAAAAGTTGTCCATTAAACTTGCGCTCTTTTATACACCAGTTCTGCAAGATTTAGAATGGGAAATAAAAGATAAGCTCATTTGAAAACCATATTATGTTCATACGAAATATTTAAAATATTTGAATGGACTTAAAATAATTTCAACTTTTAAAATAGTTTTATTCAGTTTTTTTAATAACACATTGATGGTAATCTTTCATGAAAAGCAAAGGGGAAGAAACAAATGTGATTATATGTGTAAGTTAAAGCTAAAACGATGCAGAATTGTCAGTACTGATTATTTGTGTGGTAACATCCAGTCCTGCAGTTCTCTCTCAGGCAAAACTATCTGTGGACATCAGTGAGAGGTTTTGCTTAAATAAGGACTAAAATCTGGCATTTGCACTTTCTTTAGGAGTGCATTACAGTGGCAGCTGTTTGTAGATTAATTCAAGAAGTCTTTTTTCAGACTCAACACAGGAATCTGTGCAAGGACCTATATGTTCAAAAGAGGATTTATTTTTTTTCTAACAAACATACATGCTTTTCATACCCTTTCTAAATAACAGCTGAGTTGACAGGCTGAAAGACTCATCATTGTGCACATGGTACATAATGTGCAACCCAACTTTCCTGCAAGATAACTGCAGAGTTTAAATTAAATCCTGATACCTGCATTGCACAACAAATGGAAGCTGTGTGGATCTTCTGGGACTTGGACTTCTTGGATGAACTATCTTCCTTTTTTTAAACTTTATTTTAAGGTGTGCAGGAATTAATTCCAAACAATGTAGCACAAATAGAGCTAAAGAATAGTTTTTCAGAAGTGGCAAAAAAGCTTTTGTTCTTTAAAAATCCAATTTCAGCATGTCATAATTTTAAGAGATAACACAAATGAATTCCTTGATACTCTCAAGTACTCTGATGGTTATAAATTTCCAGCCAAATTTTTTGTATATCATCTTTATTTAATATGAATATACTAACATATCCTTCCCTTGATTCTTTTTCTTTTGTGTTTTTTTTTGTTGTTGTTTTTTTTAAAGCTGTTTACATGTGTGAAGTAGAAAAGCATCGTCCTCAAGTCTTTCAGAATCAGGACAAGGAGGGCTTCTCTCATCTAGAGGATCCCTTGCCTGCAGCGGTAGGAGTGACCTATGAACTCTGTGCTGGCATTGTAGACAAACCAGACCTCTCTTTAGAAGAAATTGCATGTGGAGAAGTCCTAGAAGAGTGTGGCTATCATGTTCCCGTTACAGACATGAAGAGGATCACTTCTTACAGGTAAATAACAGCATGTTAAAATACTTTGCATTTTGTTGTTTCACAGATTGCCGAATTGACCTGACTGTAGACTAATGTTCCCTGTTCCCTTATTTAAGCCACGTACTGGAGAAACATGGACATCTGAAAGTATGTGAAAGGTGTAATTTTCAGCAACCAAGGGAGCAGTATTTACAGAGACTTAAAGAATTATAAACTCATAATTACGGGTTCTAATTCCCAGTAAGAATGATGCTATTGTGATTTATTCCAAAGACTGTTAGAACTGGGAAAAGTTGCATTGGGCTCTTCAGATCAATTGGTTACAGTGCTAGAAAATAGCCTGACTTTACTGTGACAAGCATTTTTCATCTCTGATTCTTATTATTCTGATTAACAAAAGAAGCTGCCCAAGATAGGCTCTGATTTACTATTAATGCAGTTTTGCAGAAGCATGAGAACCTGTCCCATTACATCTCTTCATAATATTTGGGCTGTAAACAAGCTTTCTTTGAATAGGACAGTAATTGTTGTTACGTAGGAAGATTTTGCTGATTTTACTATGAAATATTTTACATTATATTTTTGCAGAGTTTCAAATAGTTGTTGAAATAGATTTTAACGTGATTTAAAACATGTATTAGGGGTAAGAGAAAAGCTTAATATGTAAGGAAAATTAAAACGTGAGTTGCTGGAGAGGAAGAAAAATGAGGAAAAAAAAGAAACTTTGCACACAGCTTTAATCCCATTGTATCTCCTTCTTATCTTTTATTGTTATCCAAAATGTATGTATGTTTGTATTTTACATAGAAAGCAGCAGGTTTTTGTTACTTTCTTTATTTTGCTTGACATCTCCATTGAACTAGGCCCTGTCATTGGTTTTTAATTTGGGAATTGAATACAAATCCACAGCTGTCAATCCTGGCAAATGTTATTTCCTGCTGGATTAAGAAGCAGTGCTTCTGTTGAAGGGAGGGGGTGAATCACAGGAGCTGTCTTTTATAACTCCTTGAAACTAGATTAAGGGTTTGTTCTACTGAAAGAAAAAGTGCCTTCTGGATATATGAGCAAAAGCTGTCTATAGAATTTCATAGGTTGGGTGACGCTGACAGGCTATAGCATGCAGATAGATGCATATGTATATGTATGTAAGTGTATACAAACACAGGATAGGAAGAGTAGAATAGAATTTCTGTAGCTGTACAAGTTTGTAGCTTCAGTGTAGAAGTTTGACTCGACATTAACAATTTACATCTGGCTAAAACAATTTACATCTGTGTGTTTCTTAGTTGAGGAATGTATCTTACAGGTGATTGCTTATGCACTTTTTTTTTTTTTTTAATTGCACTGACTTGGAAAGAGAATATACAATTGGAATTTTGGGTTGAGACCCGTGCAAAGGGCACTTAATATGTTAATCCCTCAATTCTGCTTTGTCTGTGTGGGCACAGCTTTCTGCCCCTGGTGATCCATGTTGAAGTCAGCCTGTATAGTATTTTAGATTCATATGAAAGGTTGAAGCCTCAAATATGGTATTTTACAGTTTCTTTTGTTGGACTTCCTGTGCTCTGTATTAGACCATGTTATGGTCTTCCTATTAGGAGTCTCCTGTTCTTCCTTCAGCAAAAGGCTGGCGTATCTGTCTGATCCTTTAAGATTTGATGCCAAGACGGGAAGTAATTGGTTCCCCTGTGATCTAAGGACATTTTTCCCTTAGTGGCTATATTACATATAAGATTTTCTGGGATTTATCTGAATGTAACAGGTTTTAACAAATGGTTTATGCTGATGTCTAATGCTGTAACTGTCAATACAAAGCATTGGCATAAAGCATTATATTATTGCATATGCATTCTGTTAATAATTACAGTATATCATACTCTTCCTCTTATCTGTCATCCCAGTGACCCGTATAATAATTGCTCTGTATTAGTTACTGATCTAGTGCATCAGGTCAGAGATAAGCCTTAGAGAACAGAATTGGAAGAAGTTTGGGAGGATCTCATCTAGACTGTTCCTCTTGTTAAATCTCAGCTGGATTTAAATAATTTCTGACAAATGTGTATCTCTCCTTTCTCTAAAATACAATTGTTTTGTAGCCTCTCTTGGTGGTTTCACTATTCTGTCTGAAGTGCAGCTTCCACATATTTGTTCAAACATGTTGCAGCTTTATTTTAGTTTTGCTTTTGCAGAACTATCCTAGTTGATTTAAGCTTTCTCTTTAGACCATGTTCTCTAGATGTCTGATCATTTCTTCTGCTGTCCTTTGCCTCCCCTCTGTCTGGTCTGCCTATTTCTTAAAAACATGGTGCCCAAAGTGGAGCACAGTATTTTCACAGGGACTTTACCAGTGTCAGACAGAGTGGAAGCATTATCTCCCCAGCCTTACAGATGATTTTTGTTTATATGCTTTAGGATGATGTTTACATCTTTTGCAGTGGCATTAAGTTGTTGACTTAGGGTACATTACTGTCTCACCTATCTCAAAACTATTTTCTGCAGCAGTGCTGCACTGTCATTCACCTCCTGTCTGTGTTTGTGCTGGTCATTATTGCTGCCTCAATACTGGCCTCAAACCTCAAACTGGCCTTTACTGAATTGCATTCCATTTTTTCAGACCATTTCTCCAAGTTGTTGGGATGATTTTGAATTCTAATATTCATCTCTAGCTTCTTATAAATAATTTATCATCTCAGCCTTGCTCTCTGCAGTCTGTATTTCAACCTCTAAGTCCTAAAGCAAAATATTGAATTGTATTGAATTGTACTGAATGGAGGATGGTCCCCAGTATAATCCTATTTCATTTGTATTTCCAGTTTGACACTGATACCCACTCCATGAGTACCATTTTCATACTACTTGTGCACCTATTTCACAGTTTCTTCAATTTCTAAGTATATCATGATCTCCTAACTTCATGAAACTGTCACTTTAGATGACATTCGAAGCCTTGATACACTGAAGTTATATTGTGTTGCTGCCCCATCCACAAGACCTGTTAGCCCATCGCAGCTGATGTTTGACTGCACTTGATACGTTCCTGGCAAGTCTGTTAGCTGTTGTTCCTTTCTTAATGCAAATAAAACCACATTAAAGCATTTAGATAACTATAATTAATAATTACTGAGTTAAGTCTATTAGATTTTTGTAGATAAAAACTCAGAGTTGTATGCGCGGTGAACTGGCTTCTGTACAAACAAGGGTTTCTGTGTTATCACACCTTTTAGCCTTGCAGCAGGTCATGAGAAGAATTCTGCCTGCCTAGAACAAGAGCAGGACTTGAGTTAGATCTGACAGAAGGACGTGGAAAGCAAGAGACACATCTCCTGTAAAGAGAGAAATGTTGGCCAGGTAGGTCAATACAGTTGCGTGGCTAATTAATTAAGAAAGAGAGAGTGCAGACAGTGCATAGGGAGAACTTAGACTAGGGAGAAACTGGAATAGAAAATATTCAAGTAGAGAAAGAGGAAGAAGAAATGAAGGAACAGTGCAGAGAATAAATGGGCTGAGAACTAAATGGACTTGGGGAAAGTACGTTCATTGCAGTAGAAGAGAATTCTCTAGCAAAATGGGGAAAGTACTTAGACTGTATTCACGCAGAACTTTGTTCTAAAGTGGTGGGAGCAGTAAAGCTCAGAAGTAATCTGAAGATAGGTTGTGGGGTTTTTCTCATTTATTATCAGAGCCTGCAGCAGTGGTTTTAGGGGAATTTTCTTCATGTTTCTTAACCAGAGTAAATTAATTAACCGCTACAGGAATTTCAAAGGCACGTACCCCCTTCTTAAGCTCTGTCAAAGCTCCTATGACATGGTAGAAGTCAGGCACTGAATTAAGCAGATCTCAGACTTAATTACCTTGAATGATCCACCATGTATCTGTGGAGTCAGTGAGAGATCGGGAAAGAAGCCAGGAGTTGGGGAATTTGCAGTAGTTGAGTAAGAGTCTTGGGAACAATTTGTCCGAGCACCAGGAGGACAGTACGGCATGAGCGAGCGAAGGAGACTCGACTGGGGGCAGGAAACGAGAAAGGCAAACACGTTAAGAGAGGCTTGGCTGGAGGAGCTCAGGGGAATCATACTTTGAAGCATCAGAAATACCGATTCCTATTATGGAAAAATGCCATCTGGAAGGTGAATTTAAATGCAAATGGTTCATTTTGCTGTGTAGGTAGAGACAGGAATCATTCTGAAAAAAATCTATATTATTCGCAACTTGTGTGGAGAGTTTCCTCTTCTCATCATGGCTACAAAAATGGCTGCCTTTGTGCTTAGCGTACAGTAAGTAGCCCCATTTTGGTATTATAAAAAGTTTGTTTTCTATTCTGTCAGCAGGTAATCCACATTTGGAGGCTTCCAGAAAGTTTAATGCCTGTTGATGTGTTGAGTTCTCATCAGCTGTGTGTATGGCCTCAGTCAAAAGAGCATCCATAGTAGATGCAGTGAGTGTAAAGGAACTATTTCGATCAATAATAAAATTCAGCTAATACTGTAGTAGTCTAGTTGTAAACTGAGACTTCATGAAAGTGGTTGCCAGTAAACTGTTAACTTTTAAAAGCTTTAAAAGAAACCTGTGAACTTATCTCCATTTATTTTTTTTTTTTTCCTAAATACAGATATTTTAAAGAGAACAGCTTTGGACTTACTCATATATTGGATAGAGGAAATTTTCTATCTGTCATGGTATCCCATCAGTTTGCAGTTTGAATCCCGTGTGAAATTCAACTGTGAGTTATTTTCTTAGGTTGAAGTACTTCCAGGTATCTTCTTGGAGACTTATTTCCTTATAAGACAGGGGCAGGAAAATACGTTGTTGTTAAAGATATTATTGCTTTTGGAACACACATTATTTTCATAGAATCATAGAATGCTTTCAATTGGAAGAGACCTTCAAGATAATCGAGTTCAACCTTTCAGTTTTTGAAAATTTTGGTCTTCTTGAAATATATTTATAAAATTATTTGAACTTGAAAGAAAACCTCAGAGCATCAGGATAAAGTTGAGCCAGAGCTGCTGTTTCAACTT